GAAACCTCTGAAAGCCTTGGGGCGGTGGAGGCCGGCGCGGGAGCGCGCCCAGCGCCCTGGCCGAGCGGTGTGCAGAAGCTGTGCCTCTGAAATGAGTTTCGGGAACGCTCAGTAAGTGCATTTCGCCACGCGGCAGCTGAATCTCTAGCAAGTGGATGTGGCAATCGTGACCCAGGAGGAGGAACTGGCCCCTTGCTGTGGCCACAGCCATCAGCTGACAGAGTTGCCTCTTCCTCCGGTGCTGCCTGTGTTTCCCCTTCGCTGCCTTGCCCCACGCTTTGTGTCACTGCTGGGCAGATGCCAGCACCTCCTGGCAGTGCCCAGCCTCACTGCAGAGTGTGGCCCTGGTGGTAAGCTGTGAGTTTGGGCTTTGCTGGGAGCCGAGTGGCATGTGTCACCTTCACCCTGTTGCCTTCCCAAAGCAAGTCTCCTTTCTCAGTCCTCCCCTGAGACTCCGTGACTCAGGCAGTGGTATCTCTGGTCGTTTTGGGTAACCACCTTGTCTGGCCAGAGCCCTGCAGGAGCTGGTGGGTGGGTGGGGGCAGTTGGCAGCACTGCTGGTGTGAGTAGCTCTGAATCTGCAGCGCGTAGGTTGCGCAGCCTCTGAGAGCAGCGCCTTGCCATGCAGGGCCAGTGTGCTGCCATGTCCCGTTGGGCTCCTGACTGGTGAGCACTGGAGTTACTGGTGTAGAAGTAATATCAGAGGCTGCAGGGAGCAGCAGCCTTTGATTTCATGAGGGGCCAAACCCAGCAGCACAGTTCTAGCACTGTGCTCTGCCCTGGCACAGGCAACAGAGAATTAACCCTTGGAGTGGCAAACGTGCCTTGGCAAGAAAACAGATGCAGCCAGTTGGGTGATGAGCTAAAACCTGGCAGCCATGGGCTGATCCAAAACAGAAGGTCAGGGGACGTGGGGTTAACTAGAGCTGCAAGTCAACATCAAGTGCAAATGAAAGCATGTTTGTTCACGGAAGCTTGGAGGTGGGTTTGGGGAGGCTGCGGTAGTGTTGCTCCCACGGGGAGTAGATACCAGCAGCCTGGCAGATCTGGCTGGACCGGAACAGCCTCCAGGGTGACCTCAGAGCTGTGCCGTCAGACGGCTCGGGGCTCCGGGAGCTGGTGTGACAAGGCAGTGTGTGTGGCAGCCGGTTGCTCACAGTGCTGCGCCCCGGGAAGACGCACCAGGGAGAGACGGAGTTTCCTGTCTAGACCCCGGTAATTGTGGCGAGGAGGGGTTTGCACGCAAGCTCTTGCTCTTTCTCCTGTGATTACCAAAGCAGAAACCGGGCTACTGCTCCTCAGGAAGGAACATGGTACGCGTCTTGGAAAATGCAGTGACCGTCTGCTTCTCGCTCCCCTGTGATTTGGGCTGTTGGTTGGAGCGGGAGCCAGCTGCTGTGCTGCCTGAGCCGGTGCCAGCTGGCCAGAGAGCTTGGGAAGTCTGCAGTGCCCCAATTGCAGGTGCCGGGTCTCCCGTGATGCTCAAGGGGTGCCCAGGAATGAGTCTCCCCAGAGGCTACTTTTGGGAGGAAGGAGTAAAGCATCAGGACCAGCCTAGATCCTCTTGCTTCAGAAACAATATGACCAGGGAGAGTGATTGAGGGGAAATACGAATTCCCTGAATCCTCACCTGCCTGGGACTGCAGGTGATGCTTGAGTAAAGAAGCAGCATTGAACCGTGTCCCTTTGCCACAAGCTGTGTGGCTCCAGCACCCCTGCTGCCCCGGGGAGGGCAGAGCACGCCAGCGGGCAGCGTGGGTCTCTGTGAGCCCTCACGACCGTGAACGCTCCTGCCCTGCATCAGGCTGCCTTAGCGCTCCGGGTCCATCACCATCAGAGGGGGGGGGGGGGGGGGGCTTCCTAACAGGGGGCGTTTGAAATCCCACTGTGCTGGGGGAACGGAGCCGTTGTTTCAGGCCACCAGCTCCTGGCTGTGTGCAGAGGCTTCCCCACGCAGAGGGGCTCTCCTGAGGTCACTGCCAGGGCCAGCCTGCCCACGGAGAGCTGCTCCCTGGGGATGTCTCTTGCTGCCTGGTGTGCTCGAGGGGGAGTGGAGAGGACAGAAAGCCAGAACCATTTCACAGACTGATTTAATTGCGTAAAAAAAGTGTTTTAATAATGAATGAATGCGTAGAAGTCAGCTCCACTGCTGCTGCTCTCCTCCAGTCAGCAGAGCGAGGTGGAGCTTGGACCCACGCGGGTTTTCCGGGAGCTGTCTCCCCTTGCAGCCCTCAGATTCAGTTCCCTATATGTGAGATCCCTTGACGTCCATCTGGGCGGCGTGAGAACAGCGTGGCGGTGTCAGAAGCCCTACTTGTGCGTCAGCGCATCGTTGACAGCGGGAACCCGCGCTGCGCCTCCTCTCCCAGCGGTTTCCTGAAAAGCAACTCTGTAAGCAAGAGGGATCTCACGTGCCTGGGGACTGCGGGAGAGGGACAAGGAGCCCTTTGCCGTCCCCACGGCCCTAGCTGTCACTAGCAACCTTCACCGTGTCAATAAAAGCCCTTCAGTGTTAGAAACAGGCTGGAAGAGATGTCCTCATGGCGTGGGCATTTTGACTGAGTGCACGGAGGTGTCACGGCAGGTCTGCTGTGCAGGGACGGACGGGCAGTGATGGCAGCAGGACTCTCCCACGTGCTCATGAATTTTCCTTCAGCGCTATGGGTCCCTGCTCCCCGTGGGCTTGCAAGAGTCAGGGGGAGGCTGTCAGGGGAGCATCAGCTCTGCAGGTCTTGCCTGTTGCAAGCTGGCCTGACCCCCGTAGCAGGAGGGTGCTGCTCGGTGGAGGCCAGCATGTGCTTTTGCTGCAGCCTGCACACACGGGTGCTGCTCTGCTCCAGCCGGCTGGGGAGCACCCCAGAGCAGCATGTGTTTTTACCCTTTCCTCCAGCCCCTCTGTACGGCTGAGCAGTGCTGGGGACCTCCCCCATCCCCCTTTAGCTGTCATGGTTTTGGTGGGCTTTGGAGGTCATTCATGCCGTGCTGGGCTCCTCTGTGGAGGCAATTAGTAGAGCCTATGGCAGGATGTCCCAGGCTGAGGCCCGAACTCCTGTAATTTAATAATAATCCTGTCACTGCTTATGGCTTGGTCCAGAGGCTGAGCTCTGTTGAGCTCCACCAGGAAGGTGCTCAGCGTGTGGCTGTCACCACCATGGGGTAGCAGGAGCATCGTGCAGCCAGCAAGCCGCGTGCAGTACCACCCGTGGAGCCCCACATGTGCCCCCCAGGGCTCTCCCCATGGTCCTCTGCAGGCCCAGCTCTGGGGAGCCTCCCCGAGGGTCCCCCCAGCCCATTACCAACGGCAGTTGGAGCGGTGCTCACCCTGCTGCCACCAAAGGAGGTCTGTGGCCAGCACAAGGGCTGCCTGCGCTCACGCTGCGGTGGCTTCTCCTGGCGGCCACTGGACACTGTTGTGTCTGTTGTTTGGAAACCCAGAGAAAATAGTTAAAAGAGCCAAGCATCAATTTTTCCAGTCACCTAGGAGCACCCAGACGAGCAGGAAAAAACGCTGCATGCTGAATTCCTGTCTTGGGATCCACAGCTTCGGGCTGCTTCCCTGCCAAGCCTAGCGTAATTAAAGATGAGTAAGGAAACCCGTGTATTTGGTGATGATGCCAGGGAATTTCTGATAGAAAGGAGGGTCCGGGCTTAGAAAACTGTCCCAGCTGGGAAAAAGAGCCTTTTTTACCCCAGTGTGAAAGGATTTTGCTTTTGTCTCCATAAGGAGGCCTCAGCATGTTAATTCCTCCCTAGGCTCCAGGCACTACAGGAACTGACTTCCTTTTCCTTCCTTGCCATGGTTAATGGATCCCACTTCTTGCAGTTCCGCTGTTGCAACAGCCTCAGCAGCTCTGAGGAGACGATTTCAGAGGGAACAAAATTCACAGTCTGTGTAAACATTGCCCAGGCTAAATATTAACACTTCCAGGATGCCTTTGGAAATAGATAACCGCTGTCCTTGCTTTGGGCAGCCCGTAGGGTCGCACGTGCCCTCGGCAGGCTGCTCGCAGCTCTGCCCTGGGCACCTCTTGACCCCAGCACCCTGGCACGTGCTGGCAGTGCCAAGGGGGACCTTAACTCTGGGTTTTCTGCCTTGCAGCAGAAGAAGTCGTACCTGGAGCGGAGCGTGAAGGAAGCAGAAGATAACATCCGGGAAATGCTGATGGCCCGACGGGCGCAGTAGCTGTGTCATTCCCCCCAGGCCTCCTGCGCCACCCCCTGTGCGGTTTGGGGCAGCTCTGCCTGCACACAGCTGCCCGCCGCCCGCCTGCACCAGCTCCGTTCTGCGGCCGTTTCAATAAAACTCTGCTGCGAAGCCTGAGCTCGTTTCCTTGGCCTGCTGCCTCGGGGTCTCGCTGGGGCTGCTCTCCCGGTGAGGAGCTGATGGGGAAAGGAGGCGGTGGTGGGATTTGGGGTGAGGGTCCTGCAGGGAGTCCGACTTCGCTTCAAAGCGGCTGTAGCCCTCGCCCTTCGGAAAGACCCTGTGCGCTGTTTGGCACTGGACACGGGGGAGGGCTCGCTGCGTTGTTTACGGGAGCAGGCCTGGCGAGACTGCAGTGGGGGCAGAGGGCGGCGGGCAGGGCCGAGCAGGGCTGGCCAGCACAGCCACCTCCAGGTCCACGACGGGCAGTCGTTTGTTCTGTCTCAGCGGTGACAGGACCCAGTTCCCTCCTTGTACACACGGACCTGGCAGAGCCCCAGCGCGGCAGCGAGCTCGTGGAGGGCCAGTGCCACCCTGTGCTTCGTGCTCACAGTGCACCAGCCCAGCCTCCTCCTCTCCCTCCCTGCTACTGGTTTTGGTGCTTTTCTGAACTGGAGCTTCCAGGGTCATCTCCTCTCCTGCCAGCAGCTCCGTGGGATCTTGGAGCTGGGCAGAGGTTGCCAGGTTCCATGGGTAACCCCCTGTGCTCTTGCCCCATAGACGTATGGGTGCTGACACACTCAGGGCTGGCCCTTCGCCACCTGCTTCCCCCCAGGCTCCCTGGTCATGTCACCCGCTCACCACTGGCTGGTCCTGCCTCATGTTCACCTGTGATCACACCCCTGCAGTTGCTGCCCCATGGACACAGGAGGGCCGTAGGCTGAGCCCTGGTGCACTCACACCCTGCACACCTGTGCACACTCAGCAGGGAGCCCTCACCCAGGACAGAGTTGAAGAGGAATTCAGTAAGATCACATAGGCTGCACTGATCAGGCACTGGACAAGTGTATGGACCAGTTGATCGTTTACACCCAACTGGTCCTTTCATCCCCATACCTCTCTATTTTTGCACACTTGTTCCTCCTAATATCATCTACACCTCTGCCTTAGGGTCCTCAGCAAAACATCCCATAGCAAGTCCTGTGCAATCCCAAGCAGCTTTTCCCCCAGCTGATGATGTGTCCTGCCCCCAGGCATCAAGCCCTTTTGCTCCGAGGGGCGCTCTGGAGGGCTGCTCTGGGTCCCTGTGAGCACAGCCTGGACATGGGGTGAGGCTCTGTGGGGACAGCCCTAGGCAAGGCCCCGGGCAAGGCCCCTGTGCCTCAGGTGTCTGTGGGTTGGGGTCCTGCCTGCCATGGTGCCCATGGGCTCCTTTGGGCTCGCAAAGTGGCCTGTGAAGGGCTGACGGACCCTGTGGTGGGCCTGGGAGTGGCCTGGCTGGGTATTGGGCTCCCCTCTTGCTGGGTGACTCCCAGCTCCTCTGGGGGTGTGCAGGGGTGCTTTACCCTGTAACCGACCACAGGCTGCCCCGTCTGCTGCTGCCCAGCCCTGGCTCTGCCGCTTGCTGCCACCTGCTGTGCCTGGCAGCACCCAGGGAAGGTGCAGGGGTGGGTCCTGGCCCAGGTGTTCCCCTGGTTTGGGCCTGCCCACGGCTGCTTCGGTGGAGTTTGTGGTGATGCTGGAGTGGGCATCAGAGAGCAGCAAACCTGCATCCTCACCCCTTCCCATGCTGGTGTCCGGGGGCAAATGGCCCCAGCCCAGCTCCTGCTGCTACCTGAGGCAGAGCAAGACCCAGCCTGTGGCTGGAGGCTCACCGTGTGCCCGGCAGGGCCATTTCTGGGAGCAGCCAAGGCCAGGCTGGGTGGGCTGACCACTGCCCTGGGACGAGGGGCTGAGGGAGGGGGAGTGGGGGCAGCCAGGGCCACGGGCGCAGGGCAGCAGCACACCTGGCGGGGTGAGCCAGGGACCACCCGCCTGAGCCCTCACGGCAGGCAAGCTGCCAGGGAGGGGACGGTGACCGGGAAGGTGACAGCAGGTGTTCGGGTCAGGGAGCCCCCAGGAGCCCAGCAGCAGACCTGAGCCCAGGGCTGCAGCCTGCCTGGGGCAGCCCCAAGCAAGAGGCTCGAAGGCTGCTGGGGACTGGCTGCTGCCAGGGGCCCTCGTCAACCCGAACCAAACTGTCTTGCCTCACGTCAGAGGCCCAAAACTGCATTTCTAAGACTAAAGCAGAGGCGTACAGAGTGCCCAGACCATGCCAGAAGGGGGTGTGTGTGGGAACTCCCTAACAAAAAAGGCGCAGAAGAACCCGGTGAGGGGCTTCGTGAGGCCTGAGCAAGCCTCGCGCTGCGGCAGCTGTGGCCCTGCCACGCACTTCGCAGCTGAGCTCTGTCCCTGTGTTGGTGCCCTCAGGCCTGGATGCCTGGCCCAGTGAGCAGCACTGCTGCCTCGGCTGTAGCACGGGAAGATCCTCAGGGTCCAGACCAGCACAACCCTCATTGAGCTCAGCCTGGGCCACCTTTCCCTCTCTGGGGACCTGCTGCCAGGTCTCAGGGTGGCTGGATGCAGCATATCCAAACCTGGGGATGGGGAGCACAGCAACCTTTGAAGCTCTGCTGCAAGAGGGTGCAAGATCACTAGGTGGCCTTCAGAAAATACAAAGCAAAGCCAACGATGGATATCAGTCCACCAGGACTGGTTTTCCTCCCGAGGCAGGGAGCACAGCAGTGAACCAGGCAGCTGGTGGGAACCATCCCCCATAGTGATCAGCAGCAGGTTTCCCCACTTTTCTGCTTTTAAAAGGAAAGCTTTTTATCCCTCTTCTGGCCTGGTGTGCCAAGGAAAAGCTTCAGCTATAAATCCTCAGCACTAAATTAATCCATGGCCTTGTTTCTTCTCACCTGTTAATTTACACACCACCACCCACCCCCACTCTGCAGGGCTGTACTCTGCAGAAGGGGGATGATGGATCACTGCTCAGAACCCCTGAGCAGGATCAGTCCTCCCCCAGGAGGGCATGTGTGTGCCAGCAGCTCAGCATGTTGCTTCCCCCAGCTCTCTGCCGTCCCAGGGGCTGCTGGAGAGCCCCCGGTCCCAGGAGGGGACCTGCCTGTCCAGCCCTGGGTAAGCAGAAGGATGAAAACCCAACTGAGCTGCCCTGTGTGGGACAAGGGGGTGGGTGGTGTCAGACACGGGCACTCCACCCACCCCACCTCAGCTGGTTTCGCTGCGCTGGCATGGCTTATGCACTGGGTTGCTCCAAAAAATCCTGCAGATACTGGTAACAGCAGGGCCAGATGCCTCAAGCCTAGCACCAGGGAGGGGTCAAGGCGTGAACTTCTGCAGCAAAGCTGCTTGAAGCCAAGGCCATCACAGCTGCCGCAGAGCCAGGGCCTGTGGGAGGCTGAGAACAGCGATGGGGGAAGCACACCCTCTACGGGACAGATTTATTGAAACAGTTGGGACCTAGTGAAGAAAATCAACTGTTGGCTTTAATTATTGCGTACGTCTTCATTTCTAGGACTAGGAAAATTTCAACTGATAAATATACATTTCATCAGAATGCCTTTGGCTGAAATACACCATTAGCACATTCTTCCAAGTTACAAGAAAAGTCTTAGAAACGTTAAAAAGGGATTTTTCCTTTACTAAAATAAAGGAGTGCACCCCCCACCCCAACAAGGCGCTAGGACGGACAGACAGGAGCTCGTGGCTGTGCAAAGCAGAGCGTTGATTACAGTAACAGAACGAAGTCAGGATGGGAGTGGGGAGCCTGCATAGCGCTCAGTGAGAGGTAGGGGCGGCGGCCGCAGCGGCGTCAGGTCAGCATGTCCCAGAGGCAGCAGCAGCAGAGCGCGGTCCAACACGCTGTGAGGCAGGCGCTCTCGCCCGTGTCGTCCCTCCGCCGGAGAGCGGGGTCAGTCAGAGAGCGTCCCAGCAGCGGCCAACCGCTGGCACGGCCATGGTGCCCCCCTGCACCCCAGCGCTCGCGTTGGGTGGCCCACAGCGGCTGGGGACACGCTGGTGCCGAGCACCCACACTGGGTGCCGCAGCCCCTCTGGCCCCAACTTCCTCACCACACCCCATGAGGCCCCACTGCCCCTCCCATCACTGCAGCCCCCTCGGACGGGAAGGGTCCGCTGGGACTGCACGAGGTGACGGTCCCGACCCAAGCAGCTGGCGAGGGGCAGCCAGGACCAGGCTTCTGTTGCGCCACATCCAGCTCTTGAGCAAGGAAACAGGCTCAGCCTGGAAGGCGGCTGCTCTGAGTGAGCTGCCCTCTCGGAAACACCAGCACCTGAGCCTCCCTGCCTGCCCTGCTGCCTCCCCTGCCCTCCGGCAGCCTCCAGCCAGCAGGAGGTCCCCAGAGCGGAGTGCCCAACGGTGCCCCAGTCAAAGCCAATGTCCCTCCAGGCCTGGCACAGCTGCCCTTCCCAGCCCGAGCAGAAGCACTGGAGAGGACCCTGCGCTCCCATAGCACTTGGGGTGCTGGGGAGGGAGCAGATGCGAGGAGGGCAGTGGGTCAGACACGGCTAAGGGCCAAACTCCCACCCAACCGCTCACTCGCTGCCCCTCCTCAGCAGGGCAAGGTGGGAAAAGAAGACGAGAAAACTCATGCATCATACAGAGAGATTGCTCACCTATTACCATCATGGGCAAAAAAGGCTCAACTCGGGGAAAATTAATTTCTGACTGATGAAAATAGATTTGGGTAGTCAAGAACAAAGACAGTGAAACACCCCCTTCCCTCCTGCCTCCTCCCCCTAGCAGCACAGGGCCATGCAGAACAGGGGCTGCAGCCCGTGCACAGCAGCTCCTCTCCTCTGCTGCTCCTGCCAGGAGAGGTGAGCTGCTGCGTGGCCATGTGTGAAAACAGGGAGGGGACACCTATAGGTTGGGGTTGTTTCCCTGCAGCCTCGGCAGAGCCCAAGGCCCCCCCAGCCCCCCAGCAATCTGTGCTCTGGGTACTTTAATCTGCGGAGGGA